TGCATTAGGAGTTGATACCTGATGTAAATGAGAGTTGGATGGGTGCTGACAAGTAGCCTCCCATAGTGCTGTGATTATAGGTGTAAGCCACTGCCCCTTCTTAAATGTAATTCAAATAGATAACCCAGGTAAAGGAGCAGCATAGAGCCTTTTGTAGGGAGACGCTGAATACATTTCCTTCCTTCAGTCCCTGCTCATTGCCACCCTGCACTGGCTGCTCTCTGGAAGTTTTGATAATCCTTTCTAATGCTAATGCTCTGAAATACCAAGATGCTGTACCTTGGTGTGGCCACTGAATGACTGACTGTGCTGTGCAAGGTACTCAATAGAGACTGTCGGTTCTGGGGCAATTTCTTGTATTCTTTATTTGCTTATTTCCTTCACCTGTTATTATTATTATTTTTTTCCTTCTGAAATGTCTGTTATTTGGGTGTTGGATTTCCTCAACCAATAATTATCTCATTTTCTTTTCTCCTATTTTGCTTTATTTTTAAAAATATTTTCTTTAACTTCATTTTTAATGTTGCTAGTAAATTTTTAAACATTCAGCTTTCCTATTTTTAATTTCTGAAAGTTCTTTCTAATTCTCTATTTTTTTTAATCACCTCCTATTCCTGTTTTACACACACAATGTTTTATGTGTTTAAGGATGTTAATTACGGTTCTTTCAGATTTTTCTTTTAGTTCCTGTGTTGCTTTATTTTCTCTCGGTTCCTTATCTGTGTGCGTTTTCTTTTGGTTTCTTTCTCAGGTTGAAGCCTTTCTTCAAATGTCTTATGCTCTTGTGCTCTCTGGTTATATTTGTTATTTATTTATTTATTTTAACTTTAATCCATTTTATATGAGTCTCTCTCTCTCTCTCTCTCTATATATATATATATATATATTTTGTTTTGTTTTGTTTTGAGATGGAGTCTCACTCTGTTGCCAGGCTGGAGTACAGTGGCACAATCTTGGCTCACTGCAACCTCTGCCTCCTGGGTTCAAGCAAGTCTCCTGCCTCAGCCTCCCAAGTAGCTGGGATTATAGGCACACCTGGCTAGTTTTTGTGTTTTTAGTAGAGACAGGGTTTCTCCATGTTGGCCAGGCTGGTCTTGAACTCCTGACCTCGTGATCCACCTGCCTCGGCCTCCCAAAGTGCTGGGATTGCAGGCATGAGCCACCATGCCCGGTCTTAGTTACTTTGAAATATACATAATATTGTCACTAAGTATAGTCACTCTAGTCTACTACAAAACATTCGAACTTATTTATTCTATCTAACTGTAGGTTTTTGTTTTTTTTTTCCTGGGAGTGGGGCAGATAGGTCTCACTCTGTTACCCAGGCAGGAGTGCAATAGCACCATCACCGCTTACTGCAGCCTTGACCTCCCAGACTCAAGCGATCCTCCCACCTCAGCCTGCTGAGTAGCTGGGAGTACAGGTGTGCACCACCACACATGGATAATTATTATTTATTTATTTATTTATTTAGAGATGAAGTCTCGCCTTTTCACCCAGGCTGCAGTACAGTGGTGTGATCTCAGCTCACTGCAACCTCTGCCTCCCGAGTTCAAGTGATTCTCCTGCCTCAGCCTCCTGAGTAGCTGGGATTACAGGTTCACGCCACTACGCCTGGCTAATTTTTGTATTTTTAGTAGAGACAGGGTTTCACCATGTTGGTCAGGCTGGTCTTGAACTCCTGACCTCGTGATCTGCCTGCCTCGGCCTCCCAAAGTGCTGGGATTACAGATGTGAGCCACGCG